ATGTCTCCGTCTATCTATAAAAGGTATATGGCAGAATGGGTTATGAAAGCAGCAGACCTCGTACGACGGCAGAGTAGTCAGATGAGCGCTATGATGGAAATCGTTGAGTGCCTCAAGACGGAAGCACTAGCAGACAAGGAAAAGATTGTCAGGTTGCAGGACCAGTTGCTAGTGCAGAAGGACGAACAACTACAGTTGTTTAAGACGTCAGTTGAAGAGACAGTACAAACAACGGTGGAGACAGGGATTAAGAGCTACAGTGCAGCTGTACAAAAGAACAACACAAGTGGCGCGCAGGGGCGTGCCCAGGGGGTGGCGATGGAGGCGGTCGCCGCCCCCTTTTTGAAATGTTGACCTATAATTTTTTGTCGAAAATTGCTTTTTATAGCAGAAAAATATTTTTATAAAAAATTTTATAAAAATTTTCACAAAAAAAATTAAACGACTGATAAAGTCCAGAAATTTCTAATGACCAAGTGTGTATCAACAAAAAATTTTCCGGGGGCTGCGCCCCCGGGCCCCTGCCGCCGCTCGCTTTGCTCGCGGCGGTAGCTTCGGAGCCGGCGCTTCGAGCCGACTCCTCGCCTACCCCTTTCAAAAATCCTGTGCACGCCCCTGGTGGCGCGGTCTGCAACAGTAAAATTCTGAAGAATGTAATGAAGAGTGTGGCTGCAGAGGAGGACAGGAGCAAGAATCTGATAGTGTTTGGACTGAAAGAAGAGGATGAAGAACAGCTTCCAGCTTTGGTAACCGCACTATTGGAGGAGATCGGGGAGAAACCTCATTTTGAAGCGACTAGAGTCGGCTGGAAGAGGCCAGGTATCACGGCTATCCGACCAGTCAAGATCACCGTCCCAAGCTCAACAGCAGTTCATCAGATTCTGATGAAAACAGGGAGACTGAGGATGGCTGATGCACACAAAGATGTATGGATCTGTCCTGATAGATCCAGTGAAGAGCGTGCAGCAAGGAAGAACGTGGTAACTGACCTGAAGAAGAAGAGGGCTGAACAGACTCATCTCGACCACTACATCCGTAACGGGAAGCAGGGGCGTGCACAGGATTTTTGAAAGGGGTAGGTGAGGAGTCGGCGCGAAGCGCCGGCTCCGAAGCTACCGCCGCGAGCAAAGCGAGCGGCGGCAGGGGCCCGGGGGCGCAGCCCCCGGAAAATTTTTTGACTGAATTATAGAATTATATGCTAAGCCAATAGGATTAAGGATATCATTACAGAAGGTTCAAAGCAGTTGATACACACTTGGTCATTAGAAATTTCTGGACTTAATCAGTCGTTTAATTTTTTTTGTGAAAATTTTTATAAAATTTTTTATAAAAATATTTTTCTGCTATAAAACGCAATTTTCGACAAAAAATTATAGGTCAACATTTCAAAAAGGGGGCGGCGACCGCCTCCATCGCCACCCCCTGGGCACGCCCCTGACGGGAAGGTCTGTAGCCGGGTTAAGAAGGCACCATGTTGACGTTATTCATGTTTCTCAGACACCGATCAGTATAATATGTACTAGTAGGGGTATTTTAAGAGTTTACGGACGTTATCTGTATTTGAGAGACAATTATATTATATACATACATTATTATTTGATTGTTTCACACTTTTCACATTGCATAATTTTATTACTAGGTGGAGGTGATGTTATAGAGACTCTGGGCGGCCAAAAAACTCCTGTTCTGAAAGTTGTCCTCTGTACTTGTTTCACTGACCCACGCTTTTTAGCATTTATACATTTCGGCCCATTTTATATGTTTGTTCGAATTGCTGTACATTTGTATACTTGCTATTTTGTAAAAGTTTCAAATCATCAAATCAAGCGTAGCCTGATTGTGGAACTCTAACATATATGCTACTTCTGTACCTGCTACTATGTTAACTTGCCCTGACGTTTGTTTCTGGTCTCTAAGAGCTGTTTCGTTCTCTTATTGTCCTCCTTGTAGCACACTTAGTGTACCTCAGCTCGACTTAGTGGTAGATTTTATAAAATGAAAGACGTTAAATTTGGGGATTTGCGGAAGAAAATTAAATATAAAAACTTATTAAAATGGTAATCCAGTGCAGAACTAATCTCAAAAACCTTAAGGGTCCTGTTCTGTCGCACATTACAAATGAGTCGTCCATTATTGTAGTTGTATTGGTAAGCTCGTCCCAGTCCTCCTTTAAAATGATGATCGACTCTATGTCACTCATTTTTCGTTGATATCTAAATGGACAAGTTTGAGTCAGGTGTGCAAAGTGATGATATATTCAATCTTACAATAAACAAAATATGAACTCTATATACTCTACTGATTAATTTACATATTTTAGGATTGAAACATGCATATAAAATGATTTAAGGCATTATTCAAGACAATACTAATATCTACGTACTGCACATCCTTACCTGTTTGAGCCCTGAACACGTTGATGGTTTACCATCAACTTGCCTTTTTTTAAATCCTGAATTTTCTTCTTTTTATCTGATTTCTTCCTTTTTGTAATGCAAACCTCTCTGATAGGTGGATCTTCTATTTACATGCTATTTTGTACAAATCTTCCAGTCACAACAAGATGCTATTTCTTTTCCTTCTTCTGGTGTCATGTTGTACAATATATTTTAAACTTATTGGAGTAAAACGTACTAAGTGAAACACGTTGATTAAGAAAGAACAATAATAAATTATCAAATTCGAAAATCATCCTCAGTTTGTTTTGCTTCTGTTGTAAATTTGGTAATCTAGCTAGGACCTAGGCACACTTGGTCTGAGGACCTCCTGTCGCTTATGGTTAGGTACAAGCATTATTTTTCCGCCATTTTTAATTGTTTCCCCTTCAGTCGCCTTAAACTACCTAAGTCACCCTAAAAGGAGACTGTCGTCTGAATCGTCATTGCTGTCGTCATCGGTCGCCACTATTTCCGATTTGATCTTTATGCATTCCATTTCCAGCATAGTCTTATTTATTTGCAGACCTGAATAGTGATCAAAAATTGCTCTCAGCAAAAGTAAAAAATCTTCTGGTGTAATAATAACCGACAAACAAAGTGTATTACCAATTTAAACCAATTTAATTAACCTAATTCCTGAAAACCAATACATTAAACAACCAATGGCAATACATTAATAAAATTATACATTAAACTAACTAATACTGTCTTTTCGGTTTTGGAACCGTTCCTGCAGCATGCAGAGTCCTCAGCTTCCGGTTACAAATTGAAGATGCTAGAGGGAACATATTCTTCAATGTGACGTTTCGTAGTTGCAGTATTCCGTGCTGCAACGCCGCCATATCCACCTTTGATTCATCCGCTACAACTCTTTTGCGAGAGAAGGAGGACACCGAGAGAGACTCCTCGTCCAAAGCAGAGGCAAGTGAGGAACCAGCATTGACTCGTCCCATCACTCTGTCGTGTGTGGCAGGTGTGGTAGGGACGGTGGGAGGGGGTGGAGTGACGGCAGGGACGGTGGGAAGCGGTGGATGCTTTTGCTGAGGACCGTGGGGCAGTGTTTGGCCTGGAGTTATAATCATTGATTCTTTTCTCTTCTTCAGTTTGCTGCAAATTGTACAGTCTCTGTTTCATCCTTTTAGTTGCGGCAACTTGTATAATCTCTGTTTCATCCTTTTAGTTTTTTCCCAAATCATTTAAATGTTAACATACTCTAATGATTTATAACAGGAAGGGACATAAATGGGTCTTCCTTTTTGGTCATCATGTACAACTTTGCAGACATTGCAATTTGCTTATTTGCAGTAATAATAATTAGTACCAATAATTCAAGTATGTATATTGTAGCACTCTAGGTAGTACCTGGCTGCTCGATTTAGTGGTAGGATAAAAAATTGAAAGACTTTAAATTTTGGGGTTTTGTAGAAAGGTAAAAATGGTAACGTGTATAAAATGGTAAACTAGTCCTGGATAACAAGGATTGAAGGTTCAAGACCTTGTCGAAAATGAGATTGAACTCTCCCAGTTCTTTCTCCAGCTAATTCGGTCATTATTTCCCCGATAACATCACCGACATATTTGTACAGCTCCGGGTCCAGTTTAACTGGACCCGGAAGCCGTACAAAATCCGGAATTTTTGACCTCTACTCCGGATTTCTTTGTTCTTCCACTTTTTTATCTTTCTTTTCATTCGGTACAGCCGGTTTTACTGCTCTTGACTCTTCTTATTACTATTCTCCACACATGCGAGGTACTCGGAGTCTACTGAGTAGGCTTTCTACTGTACTTGATGACAACTTAGGGTCGAAACTAACTGCTGGGAAATGTAACTTATATGATTTTCGGTGCTTCCGTAGTGACTATTAAACTAATTAATTTGAGGTGTGGGTGAAAAATACTAATTTACGAACGAACAAAATATCAACTATATGAATATAACTGACCATTAACTATTTAAGAAATTATACCCAGATTATAAACAGGGGGGGGGGGGGGGGGGGGGGGGATCGGGTACCAAGTGTCGGACATCACGTCGACAAAGTGTAGTTTTGGATATTTTTCACTAGACACACCCACCGTACAGACCGTAGATCCAAAAAGTCTGTACCCTGGTTTTCTCAAATTGATTATGTTTTATGTAGATCTAGAAGTACCCCTCTGCTTGTTGACGCTAGGTCTTACGCTGGTGCAAAACTTCAATATGATCACAAAATTGTAAAAGCAACTTTTGACCTCAGTAAACGTTACAAACTTTACAGTACTGCCAAACACACAGTCAAGCAGTATAACACCAACTCATTGGTTTGTAGCAAAGATGTTCAAAGTTCTTTTCAACAAAATGCTGCTCAGAAGATTGAAACTGATACATCTGCCCAGTCAGTCACTGAAAGTTTTAACAACCTTTTCGAGGCGGTTAAAATTGCTGCATCTGAAACAGTGGGTATGAAAAGAAACACAGCCAAACGTCACAGAACATCAGACCCACAAGTCGTCTCTATGTCAGAAAAGAGACACCAATTACTACAACATTTAAACGACAACAAAATGCGTGACAGAACTATCATGCGTAAGGAAATCAACAGACTCAAGAATGACATTGCAAAGCGCCTTATTACACTTGAAACCGCTCATGCCAACCTTCTAGCTGAGACGATCAACTCCACTGATGATACCAGAAGAATGTTCGAAGCAACCAGAGCAATTTCAAGCACAAAGGACACTCCTCCTATTTCAGTATTCCTACCAGAAACAGAAGAACTTGCTCTCCATGACGAAGATAAGGCAGACATAGTCAAGAACTGGTTCATGGAACATTACACAGGCCCAGAACCCCCACTAGAACCTTTTGTTGGAGCTGCTAAGCCATTAGATACGCCTATAACTACACTTGAAGTTGAGACAGCAGCCAAGAAACTAAAGAACGGCAAAGCCGTTGGTCCTGACAACCTCCCTAACGAATTCCTTAAGTATGCACCTCCTTCTTTCTACATGAAGTTTGCATCACTTATCAATGAGTCCTTTGAAAAACAAGAGCACGTTCAATCATTCACTGAGGGATATCTTACCCCCCTACAGAAGCCTGGAAAACCAAAAGGACCAGTTAAGAGTCTGCGTCCCTTGGCCTTGTGCCTTCTCAATGGAACTAGGAAAATCCTTTCCATGATAACACTCCAGCGTATTCAACAACAGATAGCAGACTACACTGGGCCATGGCAGAATGCCTATAAATCAGGACACAGCTGCTCTAATATTGTCTGGACACAAAGGGTTCTTATTTCTGTTGTCAAGGAGAAACATTGGGAGTTTAGTAAAATGGGGATAGACATGTCATCAGCCTTCGACACAATACATCGGTCAACTATACTCAGGCTACTCGAAGATGCAGGATGCTCAGAAGATGACATAAGACTAGTTAGATATCTGCTCGCCAACACCAAGCTCAGAATTAAGATCAAAAAGACGACATCGGGAGAGTTCGAAGTCACAATAGGAGCCTTTCAAGGTGACTGTTTGTCTGGCTCGCTGTTTACCATGTACCTAGCTGGAGCACTCTACCACCTTAGAGTTGTTGTTATACATCTACGCCCAAATCCTCCCATATCAGAAAGCTCCCTTCCTTTAGAATGGGAATATGCTGATGATGTGGACTTTGCTGATGAAGATGAGGATTCGTTACACCAGCTCCTTCCAATTTGCAAGGAAATTCTCTCAGAATGGAATTTGCTTGTAAATGAATCTAAAACCGAGTTTGTAAAGTGTTATCTGGCTAGAAGTAGTGAGAAGGACGAAAAAGGAGAACCTCTAAGAAATAGAGAACCTTGGAGGAAGTGTGTGTCCCTAGGCTCTAAGCTATGTAGTAAAGAAGACATACAGCATCGTATAATCCTTGGAAATGTTGCATTCGAAAAATACAAGAAAGTTTGGATGCAAGGATCTAAGATTAATCTGAAGACCAAGATTAAGATATACGAAGCATACGTTACATCTGTTATGCTCTATAACTGCAATAGCTGGGCTACCCCTCAGAACCTATTTGACAAACTTGATGCATGTCATAGAAGACACCTGCGTCAAATATTGAAGATGACTTATCCCATTATTATCAGTAATAAAGCACTCTATGAACGCTGTGGTGTAACACCGTTGTCAGAGCGAGTGACATATGCTCGCTGGAAAATGCTTGGACATGTCCTTCGCAGTGACTGCTCATCACCAGCTCAGAGAGCTCTTCAATTTGCTGTTAATGCGTTATTTACCATGAAAGGACGTGTTGGTCGACACCAAAGTAATCTTTTAAAGTTTATTATAAATGATTTGAATAAAAGAAACCTACCATTACGTGATATTAATGATCTTTATGATCTTAGGGCTACTGCCTCTAACAGAGTTTTGTGGAGAAAATTATTTACCTCATAATTAACCTTTATTTTTCAGAGAACTGTTATGTTTTTTTTGGGCACTTATCAGTCTCTTAAGATGTTACTTTACTATTTCGAGATTGTTTTAAAAGTTAGATAATAATACACACCCACCCCCTTTGCGGTACTAACTGTTTTTTTGGATAATACGTAAGACACCCACCCCTTTCGCCACCTTTTGCAGTACTAACTGTCGAAAAATCGTGGTACTAACTGTTTTTTGGTATATAGAATAAGATACCCACCCAGAAATTGCTTTCTTTTTAAAGAGCTCATTTAAACTTTAAAGGAAGACTTTTTTAGTTTCAGATATAACAGGATAGAATACTTACTTACTTGTACTTGATTAGGTCTCCTCAATCATTCGAGTGGCCTGCACCAATGAACTCCCGTTTGTGACGTATCATCTCCCTCCAAAGTTTTCGGTCACTAGCCATCTCGCTCGCTCCTTCTAGGTCTATGTCAGTGTTTCCTGTAAACGATGCAGCATCTTCCAGCAAACATTTCCTCCAGTTCTTTCTTGGACGGCCCCTAGATCTTCTCCCATGGGCAGGGGTCCAGTTAAGCAGGTACTTAGGAAGCCTAGTGTCTGGCATTCTGGTGACATGGCCAAACCAACGCAGGCGGTTTGCTCCTATGTACGTCTCTACTGGATTTATCTTTGCACGCTCCAGCACTTCAGTGTTTCTAACCCGATCGAGCCATCTTATCCTAAGTATTCTCCTCAAGCAACGCTGATGGAACACCTCAAAGCGATGTAGCTGCTTTTTGGTTGTGTTCCAAACCTCACTACCATATAACAATATTGTCAAAACCGCTGCCTTATAAATCCTGATCTTTGTATAAGACTGGATGTTGCGGTTTTTCCATATATTACTCAGTTGATTGAAGGCTCCGGAAGCTTTCTGAATCCTAGCTGACAGCTCACGGTCGATAGTACCGTCGCTGGAAATAATTGTACCTAAGTACGTAAAGTCACTAACTTGCTGCACTGGCGTGTCTTCAACAGTGATGTTCACTGTGGCTTCTTTCGTGTATGGCCGTTGAGAGGTTGCTTTACCAATGACCATAGCCTCAGTCTTTTTACCATTGATTCTAAGACCTCCCTGGGCACCATACATACACAAAAGGTCAGTTGTTTCTTGAAGACCTTCCTCGCTGTTATCCAGTACAGCCATGTCATCTGCATAATCTGTATCTAACACAGTGATATCATCAACGAGCGGACTGATAGATCTTTGAAGAACCGCTCCGTGGGACACCACTTTGTTGCTTTCTGTTCTCTCAGCAGCCACATTGAGGCAGACATTAAAAAGTGGGGGACCCTGAATGTCTCCTTGGCCACTGCCTGAACTTACTTCAAACCATTCTGATAGTTCACCATTGTGTCTAACAGCACTAACAGTTCCATTAAAAAATGCCTGTATTATTCGAATGTATTTACATGGCAGGCCATAATGACTGAAAGCTTTCCAAATATAATTCCTGTCGATGGAATCAAAAGCTGCCTTGAAGTCCACAAAATTTACATACAGGGGGAGATTATATTCAATGCAGTTATGTATAATAGTGCGGAGTGAATAAATCTGATCAATGCATGATCTGTTCTTTCTAAACCCACACTGATTGTCTCGTAGCAGACTTTCTAAACCGTCACTCATGCGTTGTAATATGATGATTTGATACAGTTTAGATGCTTTAGATCTTAGAGTGATCCCCCTATTATTGGAGCAATGAGAGGTATCACCCTTCTTTGGTACAATTATCACGATGCCTTTCAACCAGTCGTCAGGCACTGCTTCTGAATTCCAAACTTTAGAGAACAATTTCTCCAACCAGGATAGAATGCAGACAATTAAACAAAGAGTTGAAATAATATATCTGTAATTTAATAAGAGAGTCGATGATCCTCTGGGCCCCAGTCTGGGGCGCTCTGAGTTCTGTTACTCCGGTTACTCTTTAGCTGCACGAGCTTTAGCGCATCTATAGCATCTCTTCCTATTGCTGAAATTATTGCAGCCACAGCTGGCACATCCCCAATCGCATTTTTTTCTAAGAAGGGATTCCCCGCTCTCCTTAGCAGCATTGCACTTGGTACACCGTAATATGTACTCCAGGTACGTCATTAGTGGCTATTAGATGAACTAACCGTTGATGAACAGTCAGTTAATTGCTTTTGCGTCGGTTTAAACAGCTCTCACTGTGTAGCAGATAATATACTCGTGTATATTAAACTGGCCCTGCGTGTACATTGTACATCATGGTTAACAAATACTTGGAGAATCTTGACAATGAAATAGCGTTGAATTACTCTACACTAAAATTCAGATCAATGTATGCTGAACAGATTTTGGGTGCTCAGATTATGCTACTCAACGATATGCGTTAAGCGGCAGGTGTTCAGAAATCCAATGTGTTACGTAAAGAAACGCTCAACAAGCCTCAGATCACCAAGGCTACGCTGTGTGATTGGATGGAAACTTTTATCGACATTCTCGACAGTTATTGTTCACCGCTGTTGTTTTCAGCCACCAAACTACAAGATGAAATCGACCAACTGAAGGACGAAAAGATTGCAGATCAGAACACTGTGATTAAACTGCAAGGACAATTGCTTGAGAAGAAAAGTGAAGATTTGACCTCCGTTCAGACGACAGTGAAAAGCGAACTCAAAGCCTGGTCGTCAGTTGTGAAGAATTCATGCAGCAAGGCGCTAGCGCCTAAGAAAATGAAAGCTGCTCTGAAACGTGCCTCCGAGGAAGAGGATCGTAGTCAAAATCTGGTCATCTACGGTCTACCAGAAAAGAGTGAAGAAATCCTGGAAAAGAGAGTGCTTGAGGTACTAGAAAACATAGATGAGAAACCTCGAATCGTTTCTTGCTGTAGGATGGGGAGAACTGTATCAGATGGAGGACCAGCCGTTAAACCTATCAAGTTCACTCTCAGCGGCTCAGATCATGTGCGGCAAGTGTTGAGCAAAGCGAGAAAACTAAGAGAAGTGGAGGGGTATGACTCAGTGTACATCAGCCCCGACCGATCAGCCGAGCAGAGAGCTGCCTTCAGGAAGTTAGTTCTTGAAGTTAAGCAGAAACGGGAATTGGAGCCTCAGCGAGTTCATGTTATAAGGAACAATAAGATCGTAAGCTCCGAGAAGGACTGATGGGATATGATTTTTTATCAACATATTATTTGATTGATTTTCATTTACCAGGGACTAGGCTTGTGCGGTGTGGTTTCGACTACAATTTTACTGCGTTCTGGTTTCCCTTTGAAATTTACATACATCTGTCCTTTAGAGATCGCAATCAGTTATATTTTGTTTTTATTTTGCGCCACATGTTATATTGTATGTAAATTTTGAAAAGATTTTCATAAAAAAAGGTACGTCATTAGTGGCTATTAGATGAACTAACCGTTGATGAACAGTCAATGTATCCCCCAGACGCTTTGAACTTCTTTTATTATTCAACCCCTTTAGGATGAGGTCCCGCTTCAGCTCCTCGATTTTTTCATCCTGGACTGTGTTTGAGAATACGTCAGGTATTTGTTCTGTAAACCGAAACAATCTTCTCCATCATGTGACTTAGCTGCTCGACTGCAGATATTCTTATACACATTATTATATTTCAGGTCACTACAGCACTGGTTTGACTGTATCATTTGTAGCTAGGTCAATCATGTAGTCCATTTTAAAGCACTTCTGATGGTGTATTCTATTATTGTTTACAACAATGTGGGACGCCCACTCCTCCGACAGTAGCTGGAACGGAAAGTTCTGTAGGATAGGATCTGTCGTTGAAAGTCCCTCGCAGAATTGCACTTGCTCACTTTGTGTGTCCTGAAAGGAAGACTGTATATTATGACTAATATCGATTATCACAATGACATTGCGTAGATTGACTACTCTTTGTATTTTAAATTCCATACCTTGAGAAATATATTCACACTTCAAATACAATTGCAAAACGTTTAAAAGTTCAATGGAAACAGATGGAAAATGGCCTACCTTGTGAGTAAAAGAGTCCTCATCCGTCACATCATCATGTACTAGGATATACTCTTGGGAAACTGTGTCCTGTAGTTCAGTCACACTATCACGTACTGGGGTACACTCTAGAGAAACTGTGTCCTGGGGACAGAGGATGTTACATATCTCAAAGGAAGGTTTGGGTCATGACACTAGTTCAGAAATTTACAGCTTTTTAAATGAGTTGGCCATGTACTTGCAAAAAGCAAAATATATAAATAAACAGACCTGGTCGTTATGTGACCTCTTGAAGAACTTATGTAACGTCCTCCCTCTATCTTCTGTAGATGTGATAGGCCTTCTCCTACACGCTTTGGTGTGAAGGGTGAGGTTGTGACGATTGTCACACACCCGACCACAGTGGCCACAGACAAGCGGCATTAGGTAGCGACCGGCCGTAGCGACATCCTATTGTAGGGAAAATTAAGTACAAAACTGTTTCAGTGACATTCATTATATCATAATATGGACACAACATTTCAAATGGCCGAATCTCAACGCGAAACAGTCAATCTCTGATACAACACTGATTAATCTGCTTATTGTGCAATTGGAAATGCAGGTTTACCAAAATGGTAAATTCCCATTGGCAATAATATTCATGTTTAACTGGCCTAAAAAGTGCAATAAAACAAGTTTGATAGAACTTTAAAACAATATTAAATACCTTTTTGAACTAGTTGAAACTGCATGCGAACTATTCAAAGTAAACTAAATTTGAAATCTGTAAAACATAAATGACGTAATTGAAACTGTGTGTAGTTCAGTGCTGGAACTGAATGATCCTCATTCCTCAATTACTAAAATAAACAATTTTCACGATATATACACCTCTAAAATTAACATACTATTATCGTTCATGATCATTCGGGAACAATTACCAATTACATGGTACAATGGCCATGGTATGTGAACCTAGGATTGTGTATTGTTCACATTAGGTGCCAAGTTAAGTGTGCTTTATGCAGGTGTCTGCCTCGTCTGATAATTGGGTGTTGATTGCTGGAGCAAGCGTCTGGATTTTTGAAATTGAACGCATTTTGAAACTTTCAAGCCCAGATATACACAGTTTTTCTCTAGCTACCCACCAGTTAGTACCATTTACTAACTGTTTTTTTTTGGAAAATGGGCAGTAGACCCACCAGTTAGTACCATGTACTAACTGTGTTTTTGGGAGAAAAAGTGACCCACCCACCAACGTGAAGTCCGGCACTTGGTGTTGAATTCACTTCTTGACACAAATGAAACTACAAGTATTAATAAAATAAATGTAGAGATAATTGATCAGCAATTATATTATAATACCAACTAACTATATAGGATTATGTATAGGTCAGTCGGTTGTATACTTATATAATATTCCTGATATATTATATTTCACAGATTATACAGATCCACAAAACACAGAATTATCCTTGTCAGATGGGTTCTTCTGATGTTCAATAGCTGGTTCTTCTGCGGGAGATAACTTGTTTCTTCTGCTGGAGATAACTTGTTTCTTCTGCTGGAGATAACTCGTTTCTTCTGGTAATAACTTGTTCTTGTGATTTTTGGCTACTGCCGTTGTGGTTTATTTATATTTTATATTTTAGATTTTAGAGCTTTTAATCAGTCTCAATTTATGGTTACTTGAACACAATTGATAGAGTCGTATAATAAGCCTTCAAATATAATAATACTTCCATTAATTCATTAAATAGATACCTTCGGAGATAAGGTTCATATATTGAGAGTCTTTTTATATTTCCGATTTGAATTGAACTTGTAGCTTATTTGAGAGCTACGTCGAATTGTAACTTGTTGCTATCGCAACTAAAATTCAGATATAGTCGGGCAGTGTTGTTGCCGTTAGGACGCATCGAAACACGGCTTCTAGATCGCCGATGCGTGGCCTCGTTAATGCTCAATTGAAACTAATCAACACGGAACTATGTACCCTAGATCATTTGAAGGTCCGTATATTTTGAAAGTTTTTCCGGATTGAAGATTGTATGAAACCAATGTGGTACTGGAAGTCAAAATCCCCCGAATAAAATTGTAAAAATCATATTGTCCCAATCTCTGTCCCCATTTCAGTATTATTTGAAGATGAAATTTCCAGAACCGAAATTTTACAGTTTTGACTGAATTTCTCACCTCAACCAATTAGTAAGTCAACTACAGGTGGCACAGTGACACGATAGAGGAGCTGGAAGTTTTGATTTCGGGCGGAGGAAGCCCACAGCAGAAAGCTAAACAAAACAAAAGTTGTATTTTCAAAAGTCTGTCCCCATTTTCAAATATGAAATTTTCTGCACACAAAATTGACAGAGAGATGAAATTCTTGCCCAGAAACCAATTTTCAGTCAATTGAAGATGGTATGAAACCAAATTGGGTACTGGAAGTCAAAATCCGAATTAAATAGTTAATCAAATTGTCCCATTCTCTGTCCATTTTTCATTTTTGAAGATGAAACTTCCATGACCAAAATTTTACAGTTTTGACTGAATTTCTCACCTGCAACCAATTATAAGTCAACTATAGGTGGCATATGACACGATAGAGGTGCTGGAAGTTTGATTTTCGGTCAGGAGAACCCACAGCAAGAAAGCTTAACAAAACGAAAAGTTTGTATTTTCAAAAGACTGTCCCATTTTCAATATGAAATTTTTCTAGAACACAAATTGGACAGATGTGATGAAATCCTTGCCCAAAACCAATTAGTCATCAATTGATGATGGTATGAAACCAAATCTTGGGTACTGGAAGTCAAAAATCCGGAATAAAAATTGTAAAAGTTCATCTTGTCCAAATCTCTTGTCCCATTTTCAGTTTTTGAAGATGAAATGTCCATGACCGAAATTTTACAGTTTTTACTGAATTCCACCTCAACCAATAGTAAGTGCAACTACAGGTGCATATGGAACACGATAGAGGTGCTGGAAGGTTTGATGTCGGTCGGAGGAACCCACACAGAAAGCTAACCAAAACGAAAATTGTATTTTTCAAAAGTCTGTCCCATTATCAATATGACAATTTCTGAACACAAATTTGACCAGATGAATGAAATTTTTTGCCAGAAACCAATTAAGTCAGTCAATTGATGATGTATGAAACCAACTTGGGTACTGAAAGTCAAAATCCCGAATAAAATTGTAAAATCATATTGTCCCAAATCTCTGTCCCATTTTCAGTTTTTGAAGAAGAAAATTCCAGGACCAAAATTTTAGCCAGTATGACTGAATTCTCACCTGCAACCAATTAGTAAGTCAACGGGATAGAGGTGAGCAAATGACACGATAGAGGTGCTGGAAGTTTGAGTTTCGTCGGAGGCCGCCCACGATCAGAAAAGCTTAACAAAACGAAAAGTTGTATTTTCAAAAAGTCTTGTCCCTTTACAAAATGGAAATTTATCTGAACACCAAATTTGACGATGAATGAAATTTTTGCCCAGAAACCATTAGTCAGTCAATTGATTGATGGTATGAGAAAACCCAAATTGGTACTGAAGTCCAATCCGGAATAAAATTGTTAAATTCATATTGTCCAAACTCTGTCCCATTTTCAGTTTTGAAGAGAAAGTCCAGACCGAAATTTTACAGTTTTGACTGAATATTTCTCACCTGCAAACCAATTAGTAAGTCAACTACAGGTTGGCATAAGACCACGATAGAGGTGCTGGAAGTTTGGATTTTTCGGTCGAGGAAGCCCACAGCAGAAAGCTAAACAAAACGAAAATTGTATTTTCAAAAGTCTTTCCATTTTCACATATGACATTACTGACACAAATTTGACCAGATAGAGATGAAATTTTTGCCCAGAAACCAATTAGTACAGTCAAATGAAGATGGCGTATGAAACCCAATAGGGTACTGGAAGTCAAAAGTCCCGAATAAAATTGTAAAATCATATTGTCCCAATCTCTGACCCATTTTCAGTTTTTGAAGAAGAAATTGCCACGACCAAAAATTTACAGTTTTGCCTGAATTTTTAATTTCTCCAACCTGCAACCAATGTAGTAAGTCAACTATAGGTGGCATATGGACACGAAAGAGGTGCTGAAGTTTGATTCGGTCGGAGAAGCCCACAGCAGAAAGCTAAAACAAAACTAAAAGATGTATTTTCAAAAGTCTGTCCAATTTTCAAATAATGA